ATTTGCACCCTATAGGAAGTGTATGTTTGATGAAATTGCAGTTATTATTATTATTATTATTATAGTTTGTTCGGTGTACTTTACTAACTGTAGAGTCATAGCAAAGCATTGTGTAGAGTCGAAAGCTCGAGAGAGAGAGAGAGGGGGGAGTGAAGAGAAATAATCGTCGAAAACTATGCATGAGATGACCTTCAACATTTAGTAAACATGTAAACAAGTATATATGCCACTCCTGCTACTACCACTACTACTAGCACTATCATGCTGTTTGTTTTTGTTTACGTGAAACTAATTCATATGCGACTTACTGGCTGACCGACTGACTGCCTTGACATCTAGACGAGTTTGTTTGTTTGTTAGTTTTAGTGCAGCTTACCTTTGTAAATTTATCTGGTGGATTTTATAATAAAATAATAAAAAAAAAACTTATTTACGGCTCTTTTTGTTGTTGTTGTTGTAAAGTTTGAAGTTTTAGTAACTATGGTATTGTGAGGTGTTTGCCTGTCTCTCTCATGCCATGCCTAGCCATCTCTCTCTTGTATCTAGACCACTTAATACCGACTGGTATATTCGATGATGAGGTTTAGGCGGTATACTTCGATCGGGAGTGGAAGTCGGACAACCTGTGTATGTGTGTGTGTCTGATGAGTATTCTACTGTAGAACCTCCGATCGACCGAGCGATCGGCCAAGCTACACCACAATCCTCAAGTCATTGGACATATTAATGAAGAAATTGTTAGGTGTTATTTACAGTTCGATCACGGATTTAGATCAGTGAAGGGAACATTAAAAACCAGGGACTATTGGACTGTTCCGTTCTAGTTTGGAATTATCTGGCATTACGCCCACACCTGACCCTGCACCAAGGATTGAACCCAGAATCTTCAGGTTACTGGACTGGACGATCAAGTTGCATCCATTCAAAGCCAATTCGGCGGAACGCAGTGGCCCAAGAATTCTAGTACCACTGCCAACCGATGTCATTGGAGAGTATTTGTCGTCATATCCGACCCGGTGAACCCTACTGTTCATCACTTCTTGCTGGAACTTCAAGTTACTTCGTCGTGTTGTTAGTTACCCTAATGGGGGTCATGTGTGCGTATTGCTGAAGAGTTTCAAACTAGGGTGAAACAGGGGTGTGGGATCCACAACCTTTAGGTTACTAAGTGAGCTCGTCGTTCATTCAGCTATTGGATCAGAATCCATTCAATCGCCAACCAATTTGCACTGCATATCGTGAATAGCAGAAGTTAAAGTTGTTGGGTCATTGAATCTTGTCACTGTGTGACTGAATGATGAAACCCGATGGTGTTGTCATGTGCGTGCATACTGCTCTCAGGAGTTCCAAAATAGGGCAAATCAGTTAGTTGCATAGTATTCCTCAAGTAGTTTTCAATGATCATACTTTGAACCACAAAATAAACCTCTATAGACTTACACTTTAAATTAGTTGTCATTTGCATAAAGCAAGAACAACAGTGGCAGCTCGTGCAGAATAAAATGGTTCCATCATAGTTTATTTCGTTGAATTCTCATCAGCTACTTACAGCCTGAATATATTATTAAGTTTATGTACAGAAATAATTTTAGCATATATACGCAGAGAGTTCATTTTTAAAATGAATATATGCATACAATGCTGATAATAATAATAATAATAATAATCACTTTATCTTAAACAATAATAATCATACAAAATGGAAACTCTCGGCGTTACGTGAAAGAAAGGATGAAAACATCCAGTTACCAGGATAAGAAATGAGAGACTGATAACCGCTTCTTTCTGAAAGCATAAATCGGATTTCAGGCGTTTGATGGAGATTACTTTGGCAAACTTAAGAAAAATTGAACTCTCTTGCCTATTGATAATTTTGAACAATCTTGCGACGTCCACTTGATGACCCGTGCCTGACGATGACACTTTTGAAAGCATTTGTTCCCTTGAGACTTAGAATTTTTTGGTACATTTTTTCAGAAAATCGGAGGTACGCCCATCATTCTATTCTCCCAATGTAACTGCTCTCGTAGATACGTGTAAATTTGTATATACAGTTGGATTTGTTAACATGAGACCTTTGATTACATCAAAGAGAACGTTGTTCAATAGACGGAAACCAACTTAACTGCAGGATGATAGGCTTTGGTTAGTGACTTACTCCATCTTTTGTTGACTATTGCTGTAATATTTTCACCTTTAAATGTCATTTGTTAAAGTGACTTTAAATTTTCCATTGATTGATTATGCATATTGAAAAGAAACACTCGATATCTACTTGACATATCAGCTGCCTTAAGATGAACACTGATGGATGTGGCTATTAGAATTAGAATTAGAATCCAATTTGCACTTTCCTACCTATTTTGGACTTGTTTAATGGGTTGCAGATACATTCAATCAAGAAACAGTCTCAAATAGGACAAAATACATGTCCTAAATTCTACTGCTGGTCACTATCACCAACCGAGTAAAACAAACCCGTCAAATTTTCAGAACATATTGTAGGCAAAATACATCTACCATATGCTAGAATCACAAATTGACACTTAGCTTCGGTATCGTGTTACTTTTGTCTTCTGGATTGTTCTTCTTTGTTTTCCTTTTATGCTTTCTATATTGTTTCATAAGCATCGTTCATTAAATTCATCTCTGCACTATTCGATATTCTTGCAGATGATATAGGTATTTTTATCTGTATATATATACTACTTATAAATCTTGTCAGTAGGACATGTCACAATCTTATTTGTTTAATGGTGGTGGCTACTAGCAGTTAAGAATCCAAACCGTACGTATTCGTACCTATTGGGACTCACCTGGTGGGATGCCGTTGCATCCATTTGAGAAGTAATTCCGGAAAAGGTTTTAGTTTCACGTGTGATAATTCAGCTTTTGTTTTATTGTCATTATTATTATTATTCCCTTGGGTTCCAAGTGGTACATAGGGCTTCAACAACACAATTCCACTCTGTTACATTTTCTTCTGTCCTTTTCATCTGGTTGGGTCCATGATTGCTCGTAATCTCTCATCTCTACCTCCAACTCACATGATCTCCTCCATGTCACCCTCGCACTGGCGACCCACTCGTCACTTCCCATTGGGATTCCACTCGAGCAATGGCCTGCATTGTTCGCGATATCATTCGACAAACTCCTCAACGCATGCCCTATCCATTCATCTGCATTATTCCTACGTATTTGTTGAGAAATCGGTTCTCGGTTGATTGATCTTTTCACAGCCAGAGTTTCTTCTTGCCAGTTTACGCCGTCTCTGGCGTAGACGTGATATTCAGCTGTCTATCGACCAAAGGGCGTGTGTAATGCTCAGCAGTCTGCTCCGTCCTCCATCATGGCTGGCTGTAACACATGATAGCCATTGAGTGTGGGAGATATGAAAAGGCTAGCTAGTTGCCTTTGATCGTAGGTGTCTGCGTTCTATCTCCTGTGTGAAGTGGAATGATAGGGTGAACAATATTGAGTTTCGGCGTCGAGTGCTAGGTATGTGGGGGGGGGGGAATCGATCGACGAGGCTGTGAAGCTACATCAGTTGAGAGAGATGAATAAGACATGTGTTACGGATGCCTGGTCATCGACAGCAGGCAGTGTTAGCTTATATACGATCTCAGGCTGGAAAAGAGCAAGTGGTTAGTGGTTAAACCAAAACATCGATTCATTAGTCAGTGACATCGACAACATTTAGTTTAAGCCATCCACGTAGGGAGGTGTAGACTTCCTAACTGATTGGTTGGGTTCCTCGGGACGGTAAAAACCATTGAAGGCTGGAGACAATTGGTGAAATGTCTCAAAATCGTTCTCATTAATGGCGCAGATGTATTCACTCTTTGTAATTTATAATTTCCAATAAAACTCTATGGTTCTTCGATATTGGTATTCTTTTTGCCTCACATTTCTGTTTACTGTCTCTATTTTGCGTTTCGTTTTACTTTCTTCTCTTGCTTTGTGTACTACATGAAGGGTTTGTGGCGACTTGAGCTGGTGCACATCGGTGCAAAGTTCTAAGTGTGTTGAAACCAGTCTGTTAGTTATCCCGTGTTAGCTAGTTAGTCCCTTATTCCATTATTCCTCTATACAATCTATGTTTGTCTAACTTATAACTCTTATTTATTTATGTCTGCATTGCTGTTTTTGTGATACTTTTCTTATTCCCCTTTAAAGGATGTCAGTTCATCATTCGGTTATAATCGATGTACTACTTCTATGGATGATTGTTGTCGTCATTTGCTAAAAGTTGCTGATGTTCTTGCCTATCTACCATATAAGATCTATTATCGTGCATTAGGTAAGATTCTTTTTTATTGATTTATTTTTACATGCATTCATTCAATTATTGACCGAATTGCACGCATGGTTTTTGTGATGGGTTCGAGTCTCAATGGGGTTACCATTACTCACTCACTGAGGATTGTAGGCACATCTATCCAAGTTGATGAGTCCCTAACAGGACGAGATGTTCTCTGTGGATCCAACTGCTGGCCAGTAACCACTGAATAACGTCAATGGTGTAATCTTCGGATATCGTCTAAGCGTCCGCACTAGGAGCTGACATGTCAGCTGGAGCCAAACATTCCAGCGCTAATAATTATATGTGTGTCCATGCCAGTCTGGAGGTGATGTGAAGGGATCTTACTAGGTTGAATTATAACATCATAGGACATAGTCGTGTCTGTGTCTTGCAGCATAATCGTTTACTTGACAAAATGATGTCTCATACAGTGATGATCAAATACATTTGAAATTTCAATTTTAAAATGTTATTCGTGCTGTGCATGTTTTGTCGTCCTTTGTTCCTCTCATATTAGCCAACAAGCATTTCTTCATTTCTTTTATTCTTAACATAATCTATCGATACGCTATTCAAGATTCTTTCAAAAGTCATCACCCACAATGCACTACTTATAATCTCTTGTCAGTAGCGCACTATATATGCGTCTTTAATGACTTCAAGTTAACTAATTGGTTCATTCCCCTTAGGAGTGTGATTTCGTCCCACGTGTGTATCTGTGCGTGAAATTTCTATTACTGACAGCTTGAGGCTAGAGTCTTATTAACATATCTAAGTGTTTAGTTGCTAAGGCAGGAAACGATTGACAATCAGTTGAAAATGATTCGTTTTTGAAAGTACTAATAAAAGACCCTGTAACGACCCCGAGAGAGTCAGTAGTAGACTTCAGTCTTCCACTTGAAATGCTCTCATGTCTCCAGGTGTTCAGTGCCTCTGCCAGCCAGGTAAGTTCTATTTACTGCCTTCATGCGGTAGGGGGCGGGGTGTTCCTCATAAATGTGAAAGGGCGAAAGCGAAGTTCTGTCACCTACAACCTGACTGGTTAACATGCAAGTCTACTTACTGAGAGCAGCTGTGAAACCCTGATTTCAAACCTATGGATGTACATGGACTCCATCCAGAATCTGAAAGGATCGAATCATGTATGAATCTGTTTTGGTTACCATCAACCATAGGAACGCTTCAAGTCAAAGTTTTGGGGAGAGGAGTGACCTCTTAAGTCAATCACCTGCTTGTGTCTAAGCATCCAGGAAATATGCCAGTCCGTGCATAAACTATGAGATTTTGTGTGGTTCATCCCTTGGTACTCATAATGTAACAAGTCTGCGTTTGAATAATAATGCCCGACCGATAGCTGCTACACTGATGTGGTGGTCGGGCTTGCATATCCAAATGTACCAACAAGTTACACTGGCTGAAGCTAATGTTTCTGCAGGTCATACCAAGCCAGAAAAACTGTTAGGATAGCAATTAGACTAAAAGCAGTTACCGCCTTAGTGCTAGATATTTTTTTCACACTATGCTGGGGGTCTGTTGGCGAAGTTGTACTGCTGAAGAACAGAGACGTAACAGTAGTAAGCTTTTTTCCCTCTGATGACCAGCATGCTAGTCAGCTATGCTGTTTCTCCACTCTGGAGAGCGGGATAGGCTAGAAAAGGTCGACCCCGAAAATTGTACGTCCCTACTTGCACTACGGTGGTCCGTAGCCAGCGTTAAGTTACTAGTACGGAACTAAACCGAAAAGCCAGTTCAGACAGGCCACGCCGTACCGCATCACGAAAGGCACTTCAAATAAACTACGGACTGTCATCAACAACTGTCTTCGCTCAATACTACTCAAGATCAGATGGCCAACTAGAAAACATCAGCGACAGGGTTTTCTGGCAATGAGTGAACCAAAGCAGCGGGAAGTGATTGTGCCACAAATATGCAGGAAGTAGTGGATGGAGGTGGATTGGTGGCCATACTCTGAGAAAGCGAACCATAATCAAGTGGCATCACACGCGAGGCCACTGCTCTAGTGGAAGCCGCTGAGTGGGAAGCGGTGAGTCAGTTGGTCGTCTGAGGGTGACATGAAAGATATTATACGAGGGGGAAACGAAAGCATGTGGGCAGATGTGGGGCGAAGTGAAAACTTCGGCGGAGAACCTAACGCAATAGAGACGTGTGGCTGAAGCCCTATGTTTCTGTAGGAACTAAAGGAAACAAATAATAATAATAACAATAATCATAATAATTAAGCAACATAAACAATGCCTAAAGATAATTCTAAAATAAAACACAACAGATTTGACGATGGGAGATTGTAGGCATAAAATAAATCAGCGATTGCATAACACTTGATAATAAGCGAGGAACTTTGAAAGACAGAATAAATGGCACGTTTTGAATTACAAGGAAAAATAGATTTAAATGACTAATTTTCAGTTATTCTTGTTATTATTCTGATTGCCCTTTATAAATCTGAAGTTTTTTATATGATGAATGTGTATGTGAGTGGTACGCGTTAGTAGTATATTTCCGAGGGTAGAATCCTCGCTAACTAAATCGGAAAGACTGAGTTTATTTTCCGGCTGATGTACTGTTTAACCTCACCTAGGTAGGTTGTAGGTAGTAAGCCCGGAAATGATGCGAGTTGGGTGTGTGTTGGGGGGGGGGTGAGGTAGGAGAACCTGTCACTCCTGTTAAAAAAAGAACAGCTTGAAACCTTGTTGTGTTTCACTTGGAATGCAAGGCGGTATATTATCAACACTTCAACTGATACGGTACTATCTTACATCAATGTTTTTCATTTCATATTGTAAGCAGACAGACAAATGGTGGTGTGTACCGGATTTTTCACCTATACAGATTTTATTTTCATATCACGTACAGATTTATGAAAAAAACCAGCAACAACAATAACAACAACTCCTGATGCCCTGACTACTTTCCATATAGCCATTGCCTTTCTTACTACAGATGTTTTAAAGATTAATATAAAAGTACATTAGCGGGCAAATCTGTTGTTTACGGTTTACAGCAAAAGTAAAGATGCATACGAATGATAATGGTAATAGTAATAATAATTTTGTTTTGAAGTGACTAGGCAAGGAGTTTAAATGTACAACATGTTACTGCCTATTCACGCCTACCTACACTCCGTTATAGTTTTTCGATTATTTTCTGCATGACGTTCGGATGGGCGGTAGAATTTAGGGAGCGCGTTTCGTCCTATTTGTGATTTGTTAGCTGATTGTACCTCTTCATTCCCCCACTGTGTGTGTGTATGATATATGGATCCTGCATCCGTTGTTTCAAACTCAAAAACGTCATATTACTCTGACAGTGGAATGATTGGCGTTGTGTTCGACTCTCAGTAGAGTAACACTATTATTCACTGGGGATATATAGGTGCACCTGTCTGATAAGTCCCAAGTGGGACGAAACGCACACCAATCGAGCAACATCACATTCATTTCATGGTATTATTGAAGCCAACTAGCCAACCGATACGTAGTTTAAGAAATAAAGGTGAACTGCTCTGTTTCGCCTTTTCCATGTGTATTTATTAGTTTAAGTGCCCGTGTGGAGCTAGTTACATTGGGCGTATGATTAGGCAAGTTCATCGTCGAATTTCTGAGCACTTCCCATCTTGGTTTTGCAGAGGTCAGAATAAAGCTTAGACACAGCTCAATACTAACTCATCTCTTCGATACCAGGCATCAATTTCACTCTAACAAAGCTTTAATGGTTATTAATCGTATTTCACCCGACCTCTCGCCTAGTCTACGAGTACGACTTTTAAATACAGCAGCAGAGGCAATCAGAATTCATCTGAACAAGCCAAATCTTCTTTTTCAAAAGAAATATATCTACAGCCCCTTTCTTCGCTATAGTCAACTACTTAATATGTTTTTACGAGTTGATCACGGATTGATATCAGTTAGATAACCATTGAAAACCAGCATTGGAGTACTGGACAGCTGTTTCATCCTAGTCTGGGAATCATCGGCAGTACTCACCCACCGCCAGGGTTCGAACCCAGGACGTTTCGGTTACAAGGCAAGCTCGTATACCATTCAGTCACTGGGACCCGATTCAATGGCTCGTGAATTCTAACTTCTACCTATTCGTGATTTAGCGCGACCCCAACCATTGTCGTAGGTGGGACATCTTGTTAGAAGTAAGAATTCATGAGCCACTGAGTCGGGTCTCAGTAGCTGAATGGTATACGAGCTGGCTAGCCTTGTAACCGAAATGTCCTGGGTTCGAACCCCAGTTGGTACGTACTGCCGATGATTCCCAAACTAGGATGAAACAGCTGGCTGTCCAGTACTCCAGTGCTGGTTTTCAATGGTTCTCTAACTGATATCAATCCGTGTTCAACTCGTAAAAACAAAACTTACCCTTACAAACCAAACTATAGAAAAATACGCAATATGTATTAAGTATTTTAAAAACGGTTTTTTTCCCTCCCCTTGTAACTATCTTTTGACTTGGATATCTTGTTACTAACATCTATTAGCTAATTGATGTTTTGACGACTTTTAACCCCTTTAATTTCACCTACCCACCCCCGGTTATACCTAAATCTGATTGACTAAAATAACCACTTGGTTGGTAAACGAATATTGATGTAAAAGAAACTGTATATTAGTGAGTGTAATAGAGGCAGCCAGCCGATGATGAGGAACTGCTAATTGAAAGGGAATACATGTGTCTTCGCTGAATCTGTTGTTATCTGAAGCGTCAATCACAAGAACCAACCTGGCAACAGAGACGGTGTATTCTAGTGCAATAAAAATCAATAAAGGAGAGATTATAGATAGCAGCTACACAGACAAGGTATCTTACAGTCACTGATGCCAGATGATTATGAGTTGACAAATTATATTGCTAAAATAAATTTAGCCCACCAGTTATGCTGTCATAGTTATTTCACTCGTTGGTTTACGTGTTCAACTTTCAGTCATTGTGCCCCCCCCCCACACGATTGCGTAACTGCCTCCAGTTTTATCTGAATCAAATGTTGATGAATACCCTTCTCATTACGATTTATGATGTCTCTATCTGTCAAGGGACTTAACCCTAAGTTCCTATTATTTGCGAAGACGCCCCAAATTGACAATCACTATGAACGATTATTGACTTTAACTCCAAAACACAAGGACCAATAAGAAATTGTATTCTTTGGCAGTTAAATTCGATATCGGTACAAAGTCTATAAACAAATGTTTTACAAGGAATGAATTGTACTTTTATTCGTATTCCTTCGTCTTCTTCCAACTTGTACACGATTGAATCATTCGCGCCTTCGAGTTGCCCGCCAATGGCGTCCAAGGTCAATGAACCAACGTTCAATGTTCACATTCATTTACACCATCTCTATCGTATATGGTTATGGATATTTTAAAGTATCAGTTTGGGGGAGATATGACTGGTTCTGAGTTAGATCACAAGTTGGCATGAATTAGAGAGCCATTGGGAAAAAACACCACTTGGGTATACTGGATAGCCCTTCGGTCCGAGCTTAGAGCTTTCCAGTCAGTACACATCCATGACCCCGCCACCGAGGATCGAACACAAGTGGAATCCAGCTGCGTATAAATGCTAACTTTTGCTGACTCCTTTATTATACAATTTTCTTTATTTTATTCGTTAACTTTCCTAGTAGAACAAAGGGCTTCAAACTAGAGCTTTGAAGTTTTTGTAGCAGTGGTGTTTATTTTCATGGACTGGTGTTGCCCAACCTTCTATCTTTACCGGCCTTACCACCAGCTTAGCGAGCTTTAGGAGTGCATCGGCCGGGAAATGAACCCCGGACCACGTGAGATATGGTTGGTGAACTTTCTATCACAGAACCACCGACGCACCGGGAGTCGAACCCGGACCGCCAGGGTGACAGCAAGGAATCCTAACCGCTAGACAGGTCATGATGAAATTAAATGAATTCATCTTATTCTTAAAACACTGTTCTCTATATATATTATGGAAGTTTTGTTAAATCCAAAAATTGCATGAAGTAACAGTTAGAATTGTCGATGCTTAATTCAGTTTTGTTCTCACATTTGAATCACTTTATGATCTGATTAGTTCAACTTGTTGTTAATGAGTAGAATTACTTACTTTTGTGGGTGCATGGTTCAAATCACACCCCTCCTCGCTTGGGCAACTACATTTGGTAGCCTAGAGGAACATGAGCTACCTGTTTCCCCGGAGGAGGAACTAAGTTCACGGGTTGACTTGTTACCGAGAAATAATCTCGTCCACTGAGAATATGCGGATGATATAATCCGTCTAGGCGGAGATGCTGAAAGAGTGTAGAGTTTTGTGAACACCACCTTCATTAGCGATAGTCTTTGAATGTTTTGCATGCGACTCTCTCCCTTTGTCAAATATAATATGGCAATGATACACGACTGGACTACACTGACTTACTCCTACCCTAAAGATGGGCAGGAGTGAAGTGATTGGTGAAGCGTGTTGACCTATTCACTCACTTATTTGGGAAGTGGTATCAGCCAGCCCCAACGGATTGATCGTTGATGAAGACTTGTTCGGCGTTTGCCAACTTAAGCCGTCTATATTACGTAGGCGTGATATCCGACTGGTTATCTATCGAACTACGTGTATACTGCTCAACAGTTCGCTACACCCTCCTTTATGACTGTGAGTGAGACACGATGGCCGTTCAAACTGGAAGACATGAGAAGCCTGGCTATCTAGCTGTCTTTGATCATAGGTATCTGCGTCCCTTGTCAAGTGTTGGTTTAGTATAATAGGGTGAGTAATATTGAGTTGGTCAGGTGTCGAGTGCTACTGGGTACGGAGGGGAAGTCAGTCGGTGAGGTTGTGAAGTTACATTGATTGAGATGGTTAGGATATGTGTGATTCATGCATGACTAACCATCCATCGCCTTCCTCGACAACCACCAACATTAGCTGCCATGGTATGAGTCAGGTTGTTGGAAAAGAACTAGTGGTTGGTGGTCAAACTAAGATATCGCTTCATTAGGCAGTGCAAGCCATAGCAGTTAGTTTAAGCTAGCCAACCAGTCAGCCAGCCACGTAGGGAGGAGTAGACTTCCTAACTGGTTGGTTGGGGTCCTAGGGATGGTGAGAACCTATGAAGACTGGAGCTAGTTATCGGTGATATGACTCAAAATCCTCGTTCTCAATGATGGCTCAGATGTATTCACTCATTGTGACTTATCCAATAAAACTCTATTGTTCTTCCACTATATTACTACTATTCTTTTTCCCTCAATCACAATTCTGTTTATTATCTCTCTTTACACTTGGAGGATCTGGACTTCGCCGATGATATATGTCTGATTTCCCACAAACTGGAAGATATACTAGCGAAAAGCAACAAGTTGGCAGAAGAAGCATCAAAGATAGGAGTTCAGGTGAACATAGAGAAAAAAGAGGTGATGAAGATTCCTGGACAAGAGCAACAACAACAGACAACGATCAGCTTAAATGGTAGGAACCTGAAAGAAACAACCTCTTTTACCTACCTGGGAAGCATCGTTTCAACTACAGGCCGGTGGAACTGACGAGGATATCAAAGCAAGGATCGGAAAAGCAAGACAAGCTTTCACTATTCTCAAGTCTGTGTGGAGGTCAACAGCACTCAGCATCAAAATAAGATCCGGATTTTCAACTCCAATGTGAAGTCAGTCAGTTCTACTATACGTATCAGAGACTTGTCGCGTCATAAAGAGCATCTCAAACAAACTACAGACCTTCATTAACAGTTGTCTTCGCTCAATACTACTCAAGATCAGATGGCCAGCCAGAAAAGATCAACAACAGAGAGGGATCTCTGGCAATGAGTGAACCAACCCAGCAGGAACCGATTGTGAAAGAAATAGGCAGGAAGAAATCGAGATGGATTGGCCATACTCTGAGAAAACAAACCATCAAGTGACATCACTAGACAAGCGATTGCTCGAGGGGAACCTGGCCGAAAGCGAAGTGGCGAGTTGGTCGTCAGTGCAAGGGTGACTTGGAGGAGGTCATGTGAAGAGGAGATGAAAGCGTGTGGGCAGACTTGGAGCCAGGTGAAGACTCTAGCAGAGAACCGAACGCAATGGAGACGCACGGCTGAAGCCCTATGTTCCTGTAGGATTTAAAGGAAACAATAATAATAATAATCTGTCTTTACTCTCTTCTCTTGTTTCTGTGTGGTACATGGAGAGTGAGAGAGAGAGAGAGTGGCAAGTTTAAGTGCTGTACATCTGTGCAAAGTTTCTTTTTATGTTAAGACACCAGTCAGTCACTAACAGCCAGTAAAACTTCCTGTATTGTTTTACTGAATTGATTAGGTTTGTGTGACCATCTCATAACACCGTGCATGTAGCTCACATAATGGTAATGGTGATAATGTTGACGACAATAATTCGTTTAAATTTTCTTTTTTTTTTCAAATGCCTATTTAGGTTACTTGTGTAATTGTCTTTGTGCAGAATTAGTGAAGTGTATAGTGAATTCAACTGATATTACACAGTCGGATTGTGATAAAATACTGATCTTATTAGATCAGATTAGTGGCACTGTAAGTTATTGTTACTATTATTACCATTATTTATTTTTGAAAAAAGAATCAAAGCACTGGACGACTTCTTGTCAAAGTTGTTCAGCCTCTGTTAATTGCATTCTTGTTCATTTAGGTTTTTCGTATTTTTGAAAGTATCAAGTCTTTTGTCTGTAATAGTGAACGTATTTTGACATGTGATTTGCTTTTGTCGGATGAAAGATGATGCTGAAAGACTGGACTACTCCGACTGCCTGCTCAGCAGTCCGCTCCGTCCTTCTTTATGGCTGTGACACATGCTAGCCATTGAGAGTGGAAGACATGAAAAGATTCGCTATCTTTGATCATAGGTGCCTGCGTTCTATCTCCGGTGTGAAGTGGTATAATAAGGTGAGCAATATTGAGCTGGTTAGGCATCGGTCGAGTGCTAGGTAGGTGGAACTAGAAATCAGTCGACGAGGTTGTGAAATTACATCGACTGAGATGGTTAGGACATGTGTTACGTATGCCTAGTCATCGCCTTCCTCGACGGGCAATGTTAGCTGACATAGGGTTGGTCAGGCTGGAAAAGAGCTAGCGGTGGTGAAACCAAAACAGGGCACCAGTCAATAAAATCCACAACAGTTAGTTTAAGCCGGCCACGTAGGAAGGTGTGGACTTCCTGGCTGGTTGGGGTATTCGGGATGGTATGAACCAATGGTTGGAAACATTTGGTAACATGGCTCAAACTTATCGTTCTCAATGGCTGTCGCAGATGCATCCACTCCTTGTGACTTATGATTTTCCAATGAAACTATATTGTTCTTCGATACTACTATTCTTTTTGCCTTATATCTCTGTTTTGCATTCGGTTTTACTTTCTTCTCTTGATTTGTGTGCTACATGGAGGGAGTATGGCGACTTGAACTGCTTCACACCGGTGCAAAGTTCTATGTCGAAAACAGACAGACTCGTCTTAGCATATTGACTTGACTTATTGGGGAAGTTACCTCTAGCCTAATAGGACTGACGAAATCTCAACAAGGATATATAGGGCTCATGTGGGATTTGTCATCTCTGTCGGAAACGTTATATCCAGCAGAATAAGATGATTGTACTGGAGTTACCTTTGTTCTTCTTTATCAGCATGAGGCAGGAGAGGAAATCAATCAAAGATGTTGTAAAGTCACATCGATTGAAATGGTGGTTAGGGCATGTGTTGCTCATGCCTAACCACCGCCCTCCTCGGTGATTAATAACGTTAGCTGACTGACATAAGGTTAGGGGTCAACCCATGACGTCTTTGGCAGTTGGCTTGTGCGGATCACCTATCAAGTTAAGGACGTCAGTATGCTGAGAACAACTGAATGGAGACTATTGGTGAGATGGTTAAAAATCGTTGTCAATGGCGTCGAATGATGTATTCACTCTTTTTTTATCTTTCAGTTCCATTAAACTGTCATGTTTCTCCATGTAATTAATCTATCTCACTGATATTTCTGCTGGTTATAGTTCATCTTGAACTGCCTCACTAGTATGCGAAGTTCTATGGACTGACTGACTGACTGACTGGTTTCCACGTAGAACTTTGCACAGATGTGCACCAGTTTGAGGTGCCATTCTCCCACCATGTACCACACAGAACAAAAGAAGAGAGCAAATAGAGATTCAGGAGACAGAGAGATAATAAACAGAAGTGTGAGTCGGGGAAAACACAAGTGTAGTAATATGTTGAAAGAACAATAGAGTTTCATTCGATGATGTGACAAATCATCACAAAGAGAGTGAGTGAATGCATCTGTGCCATCATTGAGAATGAGGATTTTGAGCCATATCACCGATAATTGTCTCCAACCTTCATTGGTTCTTACCATCCCGAGGACCCCAACCAACTAGTTAGGAAGTTTACATCTGCCTACATGGCTGGCTGACTGGCTAGCTTAAAGTAACTGCTATGGATTTCATTGACTGATGTCTCCATGTTTTGCTTTGACCACCACTAGCTGTATGTTGGAACTGAGTGAGTCAATGATGAATTTGGTGTCTTCCTCTTTCAAAGTATGAAGTCTTTTCTTTGTGTTTAGTTGTTGAATGCCTTACAATAACGACTCGTTGGTTAGACTATGGGTTACTCAACCTATATAGGAGTTGTTAGGGTTTGGCCTTTTCGTGGATAACGCTGATGTTTGAAACGAGATGACGGATGTTTTTAGTTCGACTCTTGTTGAGAAATACTATCACTCCTCAATAGGATTCATTTACATCCAGATGACGAGACCCAAATACGACGAAGCCCACTGTTCTAGATTCTATTGCTAACTCCACATATTCACCGAATGACAATTTTTGTAACCTCTAAAGAGTGGTCGGTATCGATTTTCCGATTTTTCTGCTTAGTTATTCCATTGGTTTTCATCAGAAGGTTACAAAACCTCAAATGTTGCTTAACAAGCACACTTGTTGTGTAAGAACTTATGATATTGCTTGGTTGCTTGAAACCTTGAGTAGGTAGGCGGTGTTGAGTTTGAACCTATGCCGCAATGGTTAAAAGCCGACTGAATAATTCAGTGGTGAGTCACAATGCCATTGATTTTAAACATACAATGAAATGACAGTTGATTGGATATGCGTTACACGAAATTCGTTTATCTAGCAATTTGTGTTAGAGTATGATGTATCTAGCTGACCAATAATATCTCTACTTATGTATTACTTATTATTATTATTATTACTTAAGAATTACCATAAGCTGCAACGGGTTGATATCTGACGAAATCTCAGCCCGGATACAGAGGGCTAGTTTCGCATATACTAGTTTACGCCGTCTCTGGCTTAGCAGACGTGATATCCGGCTGGCTGTCGACCAAAGGGCGTGTGTACTGCTCATCAGTCCGCTCCATCCTCCTTTATGACTGTGAGACATGGCCATTGAGAGTGGAAGACATGAAAAGACTCGCTATCTTTGATCATAGGTGCCTGCGTTCTATCTCCGGTGTGAAGTGGTATAATAAGGTGAGCAATATTGAGCTGGTTAGGCATCGGTCGAGTGCTAGGTAGGTGGAACTAGAAATCAGTCGACGAGGTTGTGAAATTACATCGACTGAGATGGTTAGGACATGTGTTACGTATGCCTAGTCATCGCCTTCCTCGACGGGCAATGTTAGCTGACATAGGGTTGGTCAGGCTGGAAAAGAGCTAGCGGTGGTGAAACCAAAACAGGGCACCAGTCAATAAAATCCACAACAGTTAGTTTAAGCCGGCCACGTAGGAAGGTGTGGACTTCCTGGCTGGTTGGGGTATTCGGGATGGTATGAACCAATGGTTGGAAACATTTGGTAACATGGCTCAAACTTATCGTTCTCAATGGCTGGTGACTTATAATATCCAATAAAATTATATTGTTCTTCGTTATTACTTTTCCTTTGTCTCACACCTCTGTTTACTGTCTCTAATATGCATTTCTCCTACTTTCTTCTCTTGCTCTGTGTGCTACATGGAGGGAGTGTGGCGAATTGAATTGCCGCACATATGTGCAGAGTTCTATATGGAAAACAGACAGACAGACAGACATTACTATCATCATCCTCATCACTATTTCCTTCAGTTCCCAGTGGGATATAGATACGGCTTCAGCAGCAACACATTTTCATTTCATCCCGTGTTCTCATTAGTTCTTTTTAGCTGGCTCCACGATTGCCTATTAGCTCTCTGGTACTTCACTTATTTCGGGAGTTGCATCAGCTCCAATGGGTTGATTGATTGCTGAAGAAATCTCAGCACGGAAACAGAAGGCTTGTTTAGCATATGTCAACTTACACCGTCTTTCACGTAGACTCGATATCTGGCTGGTTGACTGTCGACCAAAGGACGTGTGTACTATCCAGTAGCTCACTTTTCTATGACTGAGAAATAATGGAAACTGAAAGTGGAATGAATAAAATGCCTGACTAGCTCTCTTTGATCATAGTTAGCTGCGTGCGTTATATCTACGTCCTGTGTTACGTGATAGAGTAGGGCGAGTAATACTGTGAGTTAATTAGGTGTTGAATGTTGGATAAGGAAGGAAAGTCAATCGACGAGGTTGTGAAGCAACATCGATTGAAATGGTTAGGACATATGTGACTTGTGCCATTGCCAGCCATCGCCTTCCTCAACAACCAGCAATGTTAACTGACATAAGATTAGGTTGTTGAAAAAGAGTTAGTGGTTGGTGGTGAAACCAAAACATTGCTTCATTAGTCAATGAAATCCACAACAGTCAGTTTAAGCCGGCTACGTAGGGAGGTGTAGACTTCCTGACTGGTTGGGGTTTTCGGGATAGTAAGAACCGATGTCGGCTGGAGACAATTATCGATGATATGGCTCAAAATCATTGTTAATGGCTGGCGCAGACATCTTCACTCTTTGTGATTTGTCATATCATCCAATGAAACTCTTTTGTTCTTCCAGATTACTATTCTTTTTGCCTCATATTTCTGTCTCCTTTGAATCTCTCTTTACTCTTTTCTCTTGCTCTGTGTGTGGTGTGGTACATGGCGGGAGAGTGGCGAGTTGAAGTGCTTCACATCTGTGCAAAGTTCTATCTATGTTGCAACCAGTCAGTCAGTTTATTAGTTCTCAATATGTCGTTTTTTGAAGGCCAACTGGTCGTTTTGCATTCAAATTCCACTCGAGCGAGAGTCTGGTTCACGATTTCAGTTAACCGTCTGTCTCCCCAACGGGGTTTCCAGTCCATCTCCATTTCTTTATACATACTTGTTTGTATGGCGATAGGTTGTTATTTGGTTTGTTGCCACCATTGAGTCCATTGTTGTTTACCCTTTCAAGCCGGCCATGGAATCTTCAGTAATGAGAGAAGGCATTCGTTGACCAAAGAAGCCTACCAGTGATGTGCCCATCACTGGATGGATGGCTTTGACACCCTCATCTGTGCCGTTTTTGTAGGTAAAGTGATAGATACTACATGGATGAGTGAAAGAGGATGTGACTTTTAGTAGATTTCTCCTATTGATTGGTGACTGGTGCAAAAATGGCCGTTGGCA